ACGCCCTATTTCCCATTCTCTCCTTTCAGAACCTCGAACAACGATGTATCACCGAGGCAATTTAAAATTCCGAACTAGGCAAAAGAGACCTGTAAAAACCTGACCGGTGGCGACATCCGCCGGCCCGGCCACGTATCCAGACAATTTCCGTCTTTCTGACTAATTCCAATGAGCAAAGAAGTTCCGCGTAATCACGACAAAAAAGCCCGACGACCAAAAGGGCGCCCGATTTGAAAAGAAGCAGCCCGCACACAAAGTGTGCACTGTAATCGCGCGCTCGCAGTCGAAACCGCCGGGAGCTCCTCTCTCTCTCTCTCTCTCTCTCTCTCTGTGTCCAGTTTGAATTGTGACGAAAACAATCGACTCTCGGGCTCTTTCAGGCCGATACCCAGTACCTGAAGGGACCGCACATTACCGCCGTGGACGAGAAGGGTTTGGAGACTGCGGTATTGGGCTTGGAGTTTCGCGTGGCCAACAAACACTTCAAGCGGGGCGACATGAAGCTCAAGTGCTTGGCCACAATAGCGACCGTCTATCTGCAGAGCAAGGAGGAGAGCGTGGAAGGAGACGAGAGGATCCTGAAAGCCCCGGTGATGGAGAGCCGCGAGACCAGCGCGCAGAGCCACACTCGCAACGACTTAATCAATGGTAAAATCCCACCATATATATGTATTTCTTTTTTTATATACATATATGTATATATATAACATAATATATAATATTAATATATATAAATATATATTTATATTTATATATATGAGATTTTTTATATACAATATATATTTATATATATAATATAATATATATAATATATATTTATATATTATATATTATATATATATAATTATATATTATATATATTATATAATATATATATTAAAATTATATATATTATTATATAATTATATATATTATATATAATTATATATATTATATATATTATATATATAATATATATAATTATATAATATATATAATATATATAATATTTCTTCGCGAATGTGTCTATTTTGTACAAATGTGCAAAATATCTGCATTTTTTTTTTT